TCTTCTGGGGCCAAAGAGCAGCATTTGCAGAGGGCCAGTGCTGACTCTTCGAGCTTGGACAGAGATCAGACCAAAGGCCTGCACAGCCTGTGTTATTTTCTGATCATTTGTCATCTCTGAACCCTGCTGTCAGCTCTCAGTAGCAAGAGTCTGATTTTGGGAATTAGCTGGGCAACAGACTGCAACCCTGGCAGCTATCATTTATTTTCCTGGCACCCCCAGCAGTCAGGTTTGAATCATGCCTCGTACCTAAGATTCAAGTAGTCATTTGCAGCAGAAGCTGATCTGAGGCCATCTGTCTGCTCTGAACAAACTTCTGTGCTCTTGAAAATGAAGTTGTGCTGTGGAAGAAGCGTGATCCTTTCATAAACACAGTGCTGCCATGGCAGCCCTTCAGCACGATCTCACCTGCAGCAGCAAACAGCACCGTGCCACCAGCAGGCAGTGCTGCCTGCCTTTGGTTGGCAGGGAAAGGGACAGACAGATCTCTGCACTGCTGTGCTCTGCCCCAGAAGTGCTTCCTGTGCACAGGATTCACTGCACAGTGAAGCACTCCTGCCACGGGCACTGCCCTCTGCTCTTCTGCAGGGCAGGGAGTTCTTCACCCAGGAATCAGATGGGTCAAACAGGGTATTTTTTTATCAGCTTAAAGCCAACAGATAAAAGCAGAGAGAGCCCTTTGTGGGCTGCAACAAGCCAGGTTCAGTTAGTGCTAATTCCAGCAGGGACCTACTAGCAGGGCTCCCATGGGCAGTCCCAAACTCCAAACCTCCATCCAGGTGGGCTGGTGAGTGTCCTGAAGGAGCTCCAGCAGCAGTTCCAGCCGTCACAGCACATCCCCTCTGATGGACCCTCTTCACTGCAAAAACAGACATACAACAGGCAGGCCACACCTGCTCACAGCGAGCTCTGTCCCAGGAAATTCCTCATAGGCTGCAAGTGGAAGAGGGTAGATCTAGATTAGGTATTTGCAAGAAATTCTTCCCTGGGAGGGTGGGGAGGCCCTGGCACAGGTTGCCCAGAGAAGCTGTGGCTGCTCCTGGATCCCTGGGAGTGTCCAAGGCCAGCTTGGAGCAACCTGGTCTCATGGAATGTGTCCCTGCCCATGGCAGAGGGTGGGAACTGCATGATCACTGAAGTCCCTTCCAACCCAACCCAAAAGCAGTGTGTGAGTGTGCTGAGAGCAGCAATTCCTCACTTTTCCTGCAGCCTGGCATCCACAGGCTCAGCCTGGGAGTGGAACATCCCCAGGACAGCACCTGGAGCTGCTGCTGGCCAGAGGGGCTTTGATCAAGCAGGAGGAGGAGCCTGCCAGCCTGGCACAGACAACACAGGGTGGAACCCTAGCAGGGGCTGTCACAGAGAGCAAACCCAGCACCCGGATCCTCCTCCCAAGCCTCTCCAAGGATCTGCTCTCTGCTCACCACACTGCAGCAGTCAAGTGTTGCCATTAATGCTTGGCCCGAATTTCCAGTGCTCCAATTTTACATTTATCTTGTGCTCTCAGGCTGCTAAAACACTTTCTGCGTGCATCCCGGCTGCTCCATTCTCTCCACAGTGAAAGCAGATGATGGATTCTGATGAATCAGATTGCCACAATAACTTACAGAGTGTTAGTTCATCTTGTGCTCTGCATTTGCTGGCTGAATTTTTCTGCCTTGATTGAACTGTACAGGAAGATGCTGTTCTTGCCAGAAGATTCCAGCTCTTCCTAGCTGATATCTTAAATGTGAAAATATGCAAATAATTAAATACTGAGCCAAAAAGTGAGGACTTTTTCTTGGTGTTTTTGAATTCTAGAACTTAATCTAGTCACTACACAGGCACTGCTGTGTCAGTCTTTTGACATTGTTCACCTGTTAAACAGCCTCTTGGGTATCATCCTTAGATCAAAATGCAATTGCACATCCATCCGTTCAGTATTACTCCTTAAAACTTTATGTACATTTTCTCCTAAAAAGCCAGAAAACCAACAAAGAAAAAAAAACCAGCCAGAAAATCCTGTTTTGCAGTGTTACAAAACATTAACAATTTACTGTCAAGTACCATAGAAATCTGAGAAAGGTATGAAGATGTTTTAATCTTAATGGGCTCTTAAAAGTTATTTTGTGCACTAAGCTGATATTATTAACAGAAGACAAACTTTAATGGTCTTCCTGTTACAGGAGTTTCTTGTCTCCCTAAACTTCTTGTAAAACTGGTGCCAAGACCCAGACCCTCATTAAAAGGAAGTGCATCTAATTGCTATCTCCTTATGCACTGCAAAAGGAGAATGATTATATCTGACCAAACTTTTTTGAAAAAAGGCAGAACTCAAGTTAACCCATAAAATGCTGGAGGACTTGAGCTGCCTTTCAAGAAATCAGTCTGAAATCACCAAGAAGCATAAAACTGAGCAAGTTTATCCAGTTCCTCTCACACAGCTGGACAATTTCTGAGATACATTCGTTGTTCTACATTAAATATTGTTCATGCAGCGGTAAAACAAGAATAGGCAAAGCTAAAATACAGATTTTTTTTTTCTCTTAGCACTCATGGCTGTCACACCTCTGGGCAGAAAGCAACCTCCCAGCTGGACACACAGGGATTCAGGGAAATACTGTCCAAATCCAGCCAGTCAATTTTAATTACAGGAACTGCTTTGAAATGGCTGTAGAGGAGAGAACCTGTGAGTTAACCAGAAAACATCCCCCCTGGGCTTGAAAATATCAAGCTGAATTTGATAGCAGCTTGAGGGGGTGTTGAGGAAGCTGCCTTAGCAGTTGATGCAATGAGATTTAAAAGATAAGGAATCTACAGCAGCAGGAAAACTCCAAGGCCTTTTGTTTGTTAGAAGGCAGGAAAAGAAAAGAAAGGTAGGAGGAGCACCTTCATCCCCCAGCCCAGCCCAGGTAACCTCGAGGCAACCTGGGATTGCCCATCCTCACATCCCAGAGGCAGGGAAGGGAAGGATGTGGAAGGGAAGGATGCAGAAGGATGTGGAAGGGAAGGATGCAGAAGGATGTGGAAGGGAAGGATGTGGAAGGGAAGGATGCAGAAGGATGTGGAAGGATGTGGAAGGGAAGGATGTGGAAGGATGTGGAAGGATGTGGAAGGGAAGGATGTGGAAGGGAAGGATGTAGAAAGATGTGGAAGGATGCAAAAGGATGTGGAAGGATGCAAAAGGATGTGGAAGGGAAGGATGTGGAAGGATGTNGATGTGGAAGGGAAGGATGTAGAAAGATGTGGAAGGATGCAAAAGGATGTGGAAGGATGCAAAAGGATGTGGAAGGGAAGGATGTGGAAGGATGTTCTCTCTGCAGCTGCACCCACCCCTGTGCTCTCCAGAAACACTTCCAGGTACAAGCACTCAAATCCAACACGACTCCACCCCTCACAAAGTCTCCCCCAGAGCCTCCTCTCCACTGCAGCAGGCAGCCAGCTCGGCCCGGGGCGATGTTAAAAATAGGGAGATCACAGAGTGGGAGCTGCCACTGAATTCGGCAAAGGGAGAACCTGATCCTGCTCCCTCCAGCCCGCGGTTGTGCCCCTTCTTTATTCCTGTCAGGATGGAAAGGGAGAGAGGAGCTCCTAACCAAGGCTGGTGCATGGGAATGATACAAAGAATTGTTGCTCCCCTGTCCTTGAGAGTTCCTTCCCTGCTTCAGGGTGGGCAGGCAGGGTCCCTGCAGCGCTGCTGTCTGCAGAGGCGTTTTCCTGCTGGGCAAAAACTGGCCAAAAAAAAAAAATAATCTGAAGCAAGATCATGGCTGTGCCTGTACTAAGCTCCAGTGCAAAAATTGGAGAAATAACTCAGACGAGGCAATAGCTGATCCAGAGAGCCACAGCCCAAGGGGGCTGAAAATTATGGCAGCAGCCCAGAGCCCAAAGGTGGCACCGAAAGCCAACACACATCAGGGGAGATCCTCAACACTCGTCCCCAGCTGAGGCTGGAAGCCTTGGGAGAAGCATCTCCGTGCAAGCATTGCAGGATTGCAGCCACACAAAACCTGGGACACTCCAGGAATGACATGAGAAGTGACAGCACAGGACAGACGTGGCCAGGCACGGCCAGACAAACCCAGATGTGACACAGAGAGCTGGCAGCCCTGTTGGGACAGCAGTGACAGTGTGGAAAGGCTGGCTTGACTGATGGGAATCCTGCTGACAGCCACGGGGGCAGCAGCAGGAGCAAGGAGGATTTTCTGGTGCTGTAGCTGGACAAGTACAACATCCCTACTCCTTCTTTATGGATGAACTCCCATGCTTGGAACCACAGGTAACATTTCTGCATCACAAATCTGGACCCAACAGAGGTGAAATGTAAATAAATTGCAGGAGCAATAAAAGCAAGTGTTGTTGTTGGAAGGGAGAGGAGTTACATCATGAAGGTGGATGGGTAACCTTGAGAATCAGAGAGCAAAAATATCCCCATGAGCTTCTCATGGAAGGGAGAACTCGATGCCCAGAGACACAAGAAACAGAGCTGCAAGCAAAGACAGGGAAGCAAGTTATTACTCTGTTTTAGGAGCATTTGCCCTTGAGACACCATCCCAAACTGTACCTCAGAATCACCCCTGGAGTAAGGTGGTCCCACTCCAGTCACAGATGCACTGACTTGAGACTGATCTTGAATGCAATCCCACCCAAACCTGAATGAGTTATTCTACAAAATCAAAGCAGTTTCTGCTGCTTTTCTCAATTTGCCTAAGTTCATTACATTTGCAAAAAAATTAAATTAGTGATCTGGTTGTTTCCAGACAATCTGCATTACTTTTGCAGCACTGTATGCACAGGGGGAAGCTTTGAAAAAAGTTATTGCAAAAATGGTGCAATACTTTCCTTGAGAGCCTTCTGAGACCCTCAGCACACAGGGTCCCACTATTAGTGATGTTAAAGGAGAGTGCAAAGTACAGATGAGAGATTCATCCCATCTGGTCTGGCTCTGGCCTCTCAACAGAAATTCTGTTGGTAGAGGACCTGACACGTGTAGCACTTGGCAGAAAACTCAACTCTGATTCTGTTGTATAAACCTTTTAATTTTTATTATGGTAAAAAGAGGAGGGAGAAAGTGCAGAGTCCTGGGGAATTTATATAATTTCACGACCACCCCACTTCCTGGAGGACACTCCTTGTTTTGCATATGCAGATGAGTACAGATTAGTTATTTAGCACACAAAGACATTTTCTTTGCTGCACATCAGCCAATATGGTACATGCCAACTGCAGCAAGAACAGCAGATGAAAGCCACAGACACAGTGCTAAGCAACTTGTTCAGCAATGCTCACATTCCCATGTAAACAAGAGAGATGAGAGGTGGTTTCCCAAAGCCCTTGACAGAGAGGAGTATTGGGATAATCTCACCCTGCTGCCCTGGGGTTTGTACTCCCTTCTGGGAAGCTGACATGTATTACACTGCCTCAAATCCCAGTGGAATAAGGGCCCAGGGTTAAATAGAACATTATAAACATCCTTAATGATTTCAGAAACCTATAAGGCCTCAGAGACTCTGAAACTGCAGTTTTGGAGTGCAGAGGAGGAAACTAGCACAGGATCAGGGCCAAGAAAATGTGCTTATGCTTCTTGCAGCCCTATGTGTCAGAAAGCCTGACTTTCCCTTAAAAGAGCTGATGATTGCTAAACACTCTTTTCTCTCTACAAAGTTACCAAAATTAATAAAATTGGGGGTTTTTTGTACAGAAGTTTTCACCCACGAGGATGCTATGGAATTTACAAGCTTCCCTTGCTCAGCAACACAGACATGCAAGTGTCATTGTCTCAGTTGCTGAAAAAAGAAATTAGCTCAAAGGAAAGGGATAGCTCTTTAATGGCATACAGCATTCCTGCCAGATCCAGCTCAATCAGGCTCACCAGGACTGCTCCAGGTTCCACTAGAGGAGTCCTGCTTTGGTGGAGGGAGAAGGAAGCATTCATTTCTGACAGAAAAATGCTACAGCCAATTTAAAAAAGAAAAAAAAAAGAACAAAATATGAAATAACACAGTACTGGGCTTGCTCTCTCCAGCAAACCAGGCAAAAGGCATCAGAGCAATGCACAAATGAAGAAGACACTGGCAGATTTCTACTATACTTGCTGTCATTCCTTTACCTCCTTGAAACTTGCTTTGTTAGTCCTTCAAAGTCTTGTCTCATTAAATTCCCTGCCACTGTTCCGTTTCAAGAATGTCCTTGTTAAATCTAAAACACCTGTAAGCCTTCCCTGGGCACTCCTGCCTCTTATTGGGAAAAACACGATCTTGGCACTTACTCAACCTAAAGTGACAAAGCCACTGAAGAAAGTGCAAGAGAACTTCCCAGCCTCCTGCAATTCAAATTTCTACATCCCAAGCTGTAAAAATATAATAAAGAACAGCAAGAAAAGAACATAAAAGCTAATGCTGTTTTCTTTCTGGTTATGTATTTACAGAATACTTGCTTTGGAAAAATGGTGATCAACATTCTCAGTTTTTGTTGTGCTTTCCTGGATGTCCTTGAGTCAGCTGCAGGTACCCACATTAATCAGCTCTGCTCTAGGAATGAGCTGCCAGTTAATTGTGGCTGCACTGACAGCCAGGGAGTTCTGACATGTAAGACAGGTCCTACACACACATACACACACAGAGGCTTTTGGGACAGCCAATGCAGTTTCACTTTTGGCAATGGAATATTGCATTTGTAAAAAATATTGATTTTTGGCTACCAGTGTTAAGGTAGATAAAGTTTTGACCTTGAACACCATGGCAGTGTCAACTTAAGTACCAAGTGTGTGGGACCAGAACCAGGGCAGAGCCCCCATCACGTGGAACAGCACAAGAACCCACAGCTAGAAATGGCAGGCAAGTAGCATTTACAGATTTAAGCCTCAAGAAAATCCATCCCTGGTGCAGCTCACCAAGCAGCAGCCCAGGTATCTTGCTCTCAGCGCTGGCTGAGCTGTGTGCAGGCTCTGTCACACCACCTGCATGCCTCTGTCATGCCCATCTAGCTGCACTTTCAGTTTGTGGAGCTCCTCGATCTCCCGGTTGTGCCGCTCCGTTTTGTGCCGCACCAAGGAGCGGTAGAAGTGGATGGTGAAGACGACAAAAATCAGACCCACGGGGACCATGATGATGGTGGACACCAGTGCTGACTGCCACCCCGCGTGGCTGCTGGGCTTCTCCACGTTGGTGGTCTCGTTTTTCAGGATGGAGCCCACTGGCAGGAATTTTATCCAGCACAGGAGCACGACTTCGGCAAGGAAAAGGAGGATTCCCAGCACGGTGGAGAAGCCCCAGGCCAGCTCGATGTAGGGGTGCATGCGCTCGTGCGGGGACTCGCTGATGGAGTTCAGGTTGTGGATGTTGCTCACAGCCTCCACGTTGGGCAGGATGCAGGTGCTGATGAGGAGGGCGAAGAGGTGAACGGCCACCAGCACCGTGGTGCAGGCGCTGAAGGCGATCAGCAGCATCTGGGGGTACTTGTACTGCACCTCCAGCTGCACCTCCACCATGGCCACCTGTGGGAGGAATAAAGAGCTTGTCAACACCTGCTGGCTTTCCTCTTTCCAAGGCTTTCAGCCAGGAGAGCATCTTGATTCAGGAAGAACATCTAAGGTCAAGTACACACTCCAGAGGTTTTTTTGGAATGGCAGCCCAGATAGATCACTGCTGTCACCCACGAGGACACACGCACCGCCTGTGCTGTGGCCCTTCTGAGACCATGCTTTTCTCAAACAACACGTCTCTGAGCCACAGGAACTGCCCCAAACCCAGCACACAACAGAAGGAGCTCATTAGATGCCACTGGGGCTGAGAGGCAGCTAACAGCCTGCTATAACCCACCATCACACCCTCTAGTGCCACTCCTTCCTTGCGGCTGCAGCACAGGAAGTGTCAGCTTCAGGCGTGCAAAGAAAAGCAAAGCCAAGCAGCTCCTCTGGCCAGTGGCCAGCCAGGTTTCACTACCCACCATGGGAAGCAAACTACTTTACAGCTCAAGTTAGCCCATAGTTAAAATAACTGCCTTCTATTCTCAGAACAGTTTGTTTGTTTTTATTACAAATATGCCCATATAAATAACTTTTAAGTTATTTATATCCTCAAATTTCTCCCTGGAGAGGTAATAACTCAGTGATACACCCAGCAGAAGTGGACAGCTACTGGCTTATGGGTGTGCTCAGCAACTCAGGAGTCTGCTTCCCAAAGCAAGAGCTATCACACAGCAGGTCTCTAAAGTTATTTTTACTTTAATCAAATAAAGCTTAAGCGGAATATGTGCAAGAGAGCAGGAGGCTCTTTTGAGATCACAACTGGAGTCCTGTTAAGTGGTTTAGCTTAAGAATTTTTATAATCAAGCTACCTGTGAAGCAAACCAGTACTTCTGTGTGGTCGCATCCCTGGAAGGACAGCACAAACTTTTTGCTAAGACAAGACACAAAAGCAGTGGGCAAGATTATCAAACATTTCTCTCTAGCAGCTGGCTTGCATCTGTAGCTACACTTCATGATTTGCAGAGAAGTTAACTTTCTTGGCAGCAAGGAAAACCTCTGGTGATCCCAGCTGACCTGCTGCTCCAGCACAGCACAGCTTGCTGGAAAGAAGCCCCTCTAAAGAACATCATGAGAAGGCAAAGTTTCAAATCTGCACTCGATTCTGGGACACAGAAGGATTTTGCAGAACTGACTCACGAGTCTGTTATCCAGACTTCACATGAGACTCCCCTGAGCAGCCATTTCAGGCTCTGTATAATCACCTGCACCACTTGCTCTGGCATTACTTGTTCATAATATTATTTAGTCACTGGAAGATTAGGGGTATACTCATGTTGTCCCTGCTGGAAGCCCTGAAAAGGATTAAAGGGGATGGAAACCAGCTGGCATGACTGCTGCCTTACCTACATTTGCTCTAAAACCCATCAGAACACAGTCAAGTCTGGACACATTTACCAGCAAGCAAGATATAACATGTGTGGAAAATGGTCAATCTCTACAAGTCTGGATTTTATAGCTACATCAACTATTTCAGACATTAAAGACACCAAAATTACTGTGACAGTACTTGGGCATTCCCAGCCTTGTGTTCTGATCCTTCTGTTCCGGATTTTACCTTTGTTTGTTTTTATCAGCTCCTGGTTGCAGTTTACAGTAGTAAAGAGAACAGCAGTTCTTGTTGTATAGCAGAGAAAATCCTAACACAGGGCTAGCTTCACTATCAATTGCAAGGTCATTTTAAACAGAATAGTTTCACGTTGCCTTGTGTTTGTTCTCATTGCAGCTCCCCTTATATTGATTTGAGAGGGAGGAGATCAGACTTATTCTCTGCTTCACTGTACAATGAATTTGTACAGCACTGTGGTTGCCAGTCACGCCCCATCAGCCAGGAAAACCTGCAGGTACATTGTTCATTATGGGGTGCTGTAATACCCAGAGACACAGCTGAATGGGAATTGTACCTGCATGTCCAATTTATAGCTTTATATTAAAGCTGAAAGCCTGGGTGATGTCAACATATCAATTTCTGCTTGTTATCCTTCACATGAGCAGCATTTTTCAGCTAATTGGATGTTTCCTCCCAGACTAACCTATTCCCCAGGGCGAGCTTCAGCTGTGCAATGTGATGAATTTTTAACACCGACTGATGGCTCAGTAAGAGGTATTTCAGGGAAAAACACCAACAATCCAGATTGGGTAGCAAGGCAGAAAAACAGTTCATTTAACCCAAACAAGTACTGAAAAGGTGAGTGAGCTCTTACTGCTTTACCCAGCACAGGCTGTCATGTCATTCCCTGACCGGGATAAGAGAAAGAGGACAAGCTGACATAACCCATTTAAAAATCATTAAATAAGCTGTCTAGCCTGTAAAACTATTAATATGTCATGTTTGATACAATTATACTCTTCCATGTAATAGCCCCCTTTATTTTAACCTCTTCCCAGAAGCAACTTTGCAAGGCTGAGCTCTCTGCCAAGCCATAGGGTATTTCAGCACAGGCTTAATTTTAAGCTTAAGAATAACCCAGTTAACTCCAGAATTACAGGATCAAGGGCTCACAACATTTTAGAATTAAACTGTAGTTAAATTACATTAAATGATGGTGGGGTTTAGACCAGTATAGCTCAGACTGTCCACAACAAGGATGTTCTTCATTTTGAGAAATTTAGACCAAGACAGATAATATCAAGCAAAAGGATGACAAATGGCTTAACATAAACCATGACACATTCACACAGATGGTTTGGCAGACTGTAAAAACAACCACTCCAGTAGATCTGTCAGGGTTTTTGTTTTGGTTTTTTTTTTTTTTTTTTTAAATCAAACGCATATCCCATAGCAATTGGGTAAGTATTGAGAAGATGGATTAGCAGTAACAGCTCTTATTTCCATCAGGAAAATTATTAAGGAGGTTTCATAAGCTCCCTTTAAATTTCCTTTATTTACAGCCTCCTTGGGGCAGATGCAGCTGCCCTACTGCCCACCTCCAGGCAGACCTGGCAGTGGAATGACCCACATCCTCCTGACCTGTCCCAGAGCTCTGCCAGAAATACCAGAGATGGTTAACGAGGAAGGTTTGCATTATTCTGCAGCCTGTCCAGAAGGAGCTGGATCAGAGCCATGGCCTGTTGATTAAATATCCATCAGCTCACAATAATTTCAGCCAATATGGAGCTAGCTTGCATCAAACACACCCGACAGGGAAGTAAATAAAGCAATAGCCAAGCCCTGGATGACATTCATTTACATAGTCAAATGCACTCGAGGCTTTGGGGAAACTGTTTAATAGAATCGTTCAGACTGGAAAACACCTTTAAGATCACGGAATCCAGCCATTACACCAGCACTGCCAAATCCACCACTAATCCATGTCCCTAAGTGCCACGTCTACACATATTTATCTCTAAATAACTTCTCTTCTTTCATCAATAGCCAAAGAGGTGCTCTTTTTAGAGAGTAAACATCCTTGTACTAAACTCCTGCGTATCTGTGGAGAAATAACCCAGGAGGAACAAACACCTCAGCTTTCCAATCAGCTGGGGAAAAAGCTTGCTAACAAAGAGAATTTCTTATTGTAAGAGATTTTATTTCTTAGTTACTGATTTTGGGTCTATTTCTTACATTAGGCTGGTGAGCATAATTAACACTACTTATACCTGTGTATATTCAACTGCACTTTAAAGAGTTCAAAGAAAATGTAAAACCAGTGGTTAATTTTGTGTGTTTGCCAAGCACTTTCAGTAACTTTCTGCTGTAAGAGTTGAGAAAGCGTGATTTGTTTTCAGAGATGTGGTTCAGCCCTGCAGTGTGGGTGGGCTGCAAGCCCCTGAATCCCAGTGGTGCCAGTGACAGCGCACCCCAGCAGGGATACCTTGTGGGACCACACTGATGGATCAGTACCCAACAATACAAAATGTTAATTTAGTAATTGTTGAAGACAACAGTCACAACAGAATTCCAGAGGCACTCAGGCCATGCACATCAGAGGCTTTTTAGAGTAAGAAAACTCCTGCATGAGAGAAATCTACAGAAGAGCACCCAGCTTTCTCCAAAAGAGGGACTTTCTGCCCCTGCAGCACACAAGTTGGTTACAAACCAACACAGACCTTGTGGAAAGCTTTTAAGAGCATCTTTTGCACACAGCCAGTGAGTGGAGAGCAATGACAAAGCAATTGAGCAGCCTGTCTCCACTGCAGCCTGCTCCCACTGAAACCCCCACCCGAAGCTTCCCAGCTTCACTTTGGGTGACCAGCTTCATCATCCCAGGCTGTTGTAATGTTATGGATGATTCATGGTCTGGGGGGCTGGGGGAGGAGAAAGCAGCAGAAAAAGATAAAATGAAACAAGAAAGGCAATCTGGAAAGCTCCTGAACTCTGTCTTTTCCTCCCAGCTTCTGAGCTGCGGAATCAAACATTTTCACATCATGTCCCACGCCACCCAGGCGCTGCCCTCTGCCCCTCTGCACACAGACCTCAGGAACAGCCAGGCCTGCCCACTTCCTGAACAGGAAACCTCCCCCAGACTGGTTTCAATACTCCCAGTAAGCAAAAACTGAGGGGAGATAAAGGGGCTCACACTGACACAGCATGGTGGTGTTTTAATACACAGCTCAGGCCTGAGCACTGGACCACCGACTGTCCCAGTTTTATTTGCTCAGCCCCGACATGGCTCTGACCTATGCAAATCACTTCCAAATAACACCCAAGTGCTGCACAGTGGAAAGCAAGCACCAGGGATTACTTCCAATAGGCAGCACTGACAAAAATACACCAGGTTTGGCTCCCTGCAGGCTGCAGAGCGCTCTGACACCAGGTCTGAGGCTCAGGGCTTCTTCTCACACCTCAGTGGTAGAACACGATCTCCCTGATCACGCTATGCAAACTTCACTTTGGCAGGCTGTGACCCAACCTCCACCTTATTTTAGACACTGTGACCTGAGAAAACACACAGAGAAATTAAAATAACGTTCAGGACCACAGCAACCACAGGGGCCTGAAAGTGCTCCACACCCAAGAGCAGCCTCGCATGAGGGCAGCCAGCATTGGAGAGCCTCGGGGCCAAAGGAGGTCCTGGATTGTTTAGCAATGCTGCTGGAGTCCTTTGGATCACTTGCAGGTAGGGGATTAGTATTTTTAAAGGGCTGGCTTGGGAGTGTGTGGGTTGGCTGTTAGACAGCTCATGTATCCCTGCTGCAGTGAGAGAGCCAGCCTCAAACTTTGCAGCAGCAGCCAAACAGGAGCCCCCAGGCAGATGCCTCCTGTCTCTTCAGGAAACAACCCCCTGCTTCTTCCCAGGAGGAAAACACAGATTAATAGTTCATTTGAGGCAACCCCAAACCCTTCACAATTCAAAAAGCTATAAAACACATTATTACCATTGCAAATCCAGAGAGCAGAGCAGAGGTTCTGCTGGAGGCTTTCAGTTTGGCCCGGCTCAGGTACAACTTTCTCCAGGAAAGGGCTTGCACGGAATGGTGGTTGGATGTGACCAATTCCAGGTAGCTGCGCCGGACCCAGTCCCGATAATCCATGCCCTTTGTGCCAGGCTCAGAGCAGCAAGCAGGAGTGGAAGGATCCACCGGGACGTTTAATTCAGAACTCATTATGAGAGAAATGCTGAGGGAACAAAACAGTCATGTTCAAGAGGGGGTGGTGGACAGGATGAGCATTAACTACAGGAAGAGCTGCAGTTGAACAAAGTTGCCCTTGGTCAGTGGAAAATGATGGACCAAATCACACTTGGAACGCAGAACTGAGAAAGGACCATCCAGAATTGCCAAAAATGACAACGAGAACTAGGAAAGATTACAAAGGTACACCCGGGAACTATTCCAGCAGGAATTCAGGAAGGCTGCACACCACCTGAGTTTTCATTTCAGAGCAGGCACCTCAACTTTGCCCTTTAATTCCTCCTCGCTCATAAAAAATTAGTTTACATAAATACACGTCACCCCCATCTTATCTTTGTTTTGATTTGACAGTTCATTTCCCAGTGCATCACAGGCTGGCTCCAAACGCACCTCCTTAGAGTATCAAACACCAGTTGAGAGAGTCACTTTTTGCTCCTTCCTTGAAAACCTTTCCTCCTGGGTTACAATGTGGGGTATAACCAAACTGAGTACTTTACTCCCAACTACATCATTCCTGATGAACTGTTAATGGCCGCTTGCAGGAGCTGCACGGTGCACACCCGACCCCCCAGGCTGCGAGCTGGGTGTTAGATAAGGGAAAGAGGCAAACCCTGCATGGCAGGGTGGTGTTTCATTGTCTTCACAAATTGCTTAACTCAGCCGTGATAGCTACACCCAGCCCGGGGGATCATCCCTGCCAATGGGCCATAATGGCTCAAGGGCACTAATGGGCAGCTGCAATGGCCATAAAGGACTCCCCAGAATATCCCGTGACTCACAGCACCACATCATTCCATTGTGAAATTCCTCGCTCTGGGGGAGGTGCTGAGCCTTCCTGCCTGAATCTGACCGTATGGAATCTGGGCATGGAATCTGGGGACATGAACACCACCACTGGCCAGCCAGGGGAGAAGCCGAACTTCCACAGCAGAACCAGACCATCCGTAGGACCAGTGCTTTTGAGAGGACTGCAACCATCACCGCAACCACTGCTTAATCAGACTGCAACCACCACCCTGCCCGACACCGGCCAGGTTGTACTCTGACTTTGTGGGTTTAAACCAGTTTTTCTGTATAATTCCATCTACTGTAAGCTTTCTATTAAATTGTAACTCCGACCTGAAGCCTGTCTCAAGGTATTTGTGTGGGGGTTAATGTATTCCCTGGTTTACTTTCAAAACAGCACAGCAGTTTTTCTCAGTTCAACCACTGTTCATCAAAGCTCAGTTTAGATGGGCACAGTTCTCCCCTAAAAATCAGAGCTGAACGCTGTGTAGGGTTAACAAATTAACTTCCCGAGCTTTTGCAGTGGGAAGTTAAATTTCCTGAGCTGCTCCCACTCCATTTATCAGCACATTTGACCAAAAATCCTGTTCCCTTACTTCCACCAGTGGCTCTGAGCAGAGAGCAAGGAAAAGGCAATTCCAAGGGGGAAAGCAAAGTGCTTCCAGGAAATTCCATTATATTCAAATTTAAGGGATTACACTGAGAAATAAATGAAAGCAGCAAGAGTACTTGAGGTAGTGGAAGCTTACAGCACCATGCCCCAGGCTGCTGCCAAATGGCTCAGGTGATCCTCAGACACGGGACAACATCCTTGGAATGTTTTCTGCAAAAATGTCTCGACTCTGACAGACATCTGAAACTAAATCTGCCTCCCAAAGAATGGAAACCACGATTTCTTGTTTAATCCCCTCACTCACTGAGCACTGTGGTGGTGGCAGACAGAAGCACCAGAGCTGCACCTTCTGGCTGCAAAACACTGACCAGCTCCCAGGAGGAGGAGATGCTGCCCAGAATCACACCTGGTGTGGCAATAATTAGTCCCAGCACCACGTCTCAAGGTCACAAGCACCTTTCAGCCCACCTGTGTCCCCTCAAGTCCCCGAGAACCGGGGCCACATGGGGACAGCTAATAAAGTCATGAGTGCTGGGGACCTGGAGTAGTAGCAAACATCAAAAGGACATCAACTGCGCACAACTCTGAATGCTGTTACTAAAAGGGAAGGAAGTTGTTTCAGGCACAATAATAAAGAATAGCAAATAAAGCACTGCAGGTCCAAGATTGTCCCTCCTGAACATGGGGGGGCTTTCAGGTTCCAGCCTCCTCAGACATAACAAGGATGGCAGCACAGGATGATTCCTGGGTAGGTTTTGACAAGGCCATTATTACAGCCCCTGGAACACTCCAGGAAGGCTTTTGACCTGCCCAGGAATTTTCAAAATATTTTAAAGTAACAACAAAAAAAAAACCCAAACAAATAAACAAAAAAAGAAAGGCCCATTAGAATATTCATGCCATAATAAAAACAAGAAGAGAAACAATAACAGGGACAAACCTTCCTGCTTGATGCGTGTTTCCAGAACAGGCAAGAATCACCTATTTTACAGAATAAAAAAGCCTCCTGGGAGGACTGGAGGAAGAAACAATCTGTGAGCAGCACAATTATGAAGCTGTTTCCTGTGACAACATCCTGTGTGGATCCTGCAACGTATAGCGTGGAGTGAATTCACTCCCTTTGTCCCCAGCTGGGACAGTGATGGCCTCTACTCTGCCATTTAATTTCATAAAATACTTAGAAACTTTCTATGTAGGGAACTTTGACCCCTGGAACAAATTCCATTAAAAGACAAATGAATTCAGAGGTTACAGGGAGAGGGCAAGAGAACCCAATCACATCGGCTTCTTCCCTTAGAAAAATAAGCTAAAAATACCACAAGGCTGAATTTTTGCTCTGGAGCAGCTCAAGAGATGTTCTCAAATAAGTAAACAGCTTCAGAATGAAATCCATAAACACAAATGAAACCCAAACAAGCAGTGCCAGGAAGTCAGACTCACCTTGCTGGCTATGGACATGGAGGGACGGGGTGGAAGGCTCCAAGGGCTGAAACACAAGACCAAAGAAGCATTTTACATGTGCTGTTGCTGGAGCAGTTTTACCCTGGAAATACTTTTCAGCCTGTCATCATCATCAGGGGAGGCTTATTCTAGAGATTTCACCTTCCTGCCTTGCCAAGTTAAAGGTTTAGGATAGTTGTTCTTACGGAACTGAATATACTACAAGATTCGACTGCATAGGGCTGCTGAATTCTGGGGAATGAGGAATTCTCCAGGAGACCTTTTCCTGAGGCAGCCCTGGCAAAGTCCATCCAGCTGTGTCTTCACTCACTTCCACTGCACCACCGCATCTGACCCCACTTCATCTCGCACTGGGAGACAGAAAGCTCTCTGTGATTGCTCCCTTATGTGGATTTTCTTAAGCTGCCAAGTGCTGTCCTTTGGAAAAGCGAAAGCCTTTGCCTCCTCCCATCTCAGTGCACGTGTGGGGATTTCTCCACAGCTGGGAATGAAGCCGACACCGCCGGAGCCGAGCGGAGCGGGTCCCCCTCCCACTGCCGTGCTCACCCCCAGAGCGCTGTCTCTGCAGCACTGGCAGCTCCTCTGCCTGGTGTCGGGATGCCAGCCCCCTCCTCAGTGCCAGGTTTCTGCCCCACACCCCTAGACTGATCTGTGGGTTTGTGCCAGTCCCTTTCTTTCCTGTCTAATAGGCCATGGCTAAGCCAAATCCCAATCGCTGTTAGTTCGGATGAGCTCAAGCTTTTTGCCATGTTTTTACCATGGGAAACTACTTCCTATGTTCTCTTCTGGCTTGGGACTCCTCCAAGCAGCCCTCCTGGGGTGCCAGAGTACCCAGGCAGGGTGCGAACACCCCACAGCTGTGACCACCCTTGTGGCAGCGGGGGATTACCTCCCAGGCAGGATGTGACCCCTGGTCCACTGCCACAGCTGGGATCCTCCTCACAGGGATCCTCCACACAGGGACCCTTCTCCCCAGCCATCCTCAGCACACCCTGGGCAGGAGGCGATCCCACATTGCGAGGATGTCCCCTCCAACAGCAGCCTTAGACAGGGGATCCCTCAAGGCAGGATGAGTCCCACTCCCAGCGAGGACCTTTCCCTCTAAAGACAACCTGGACAGAGGATCTTCCCTAGGCAGGACACAACCTCCTACCAGCGCATCCTGATCCAGCATCCCAAGGATCAGGCAGGATGGGACCCAACCGCTCGATCCCGTCTTCCAAAAGCAGCCTGGGCCAGGGTCTTTCCTGCACCGTATGCTGGAGGTGTCTCCCCTATGACACTCCACCGAGAGCATCCCTGTCCGGACACATCCCGCGGGAGCTGGCCTGCCTTCCGCATCCCACGGCACCTCGGAAGCACCGCCGGACAGGACGGGACCCCAGGGCGGACCCTCCCCATTCACCCCGTCCCTCCAGGAGCAGGACTGCCCCAGCTAAGCAGGACGAGGCGCACATCCCCCCGCCACCATCCCGGCACGGGATTCTCCCCGGCCGGGCAGGACGAGGCGCGTCCCCCCCACACCGCCCCGGGCAGGGGAATCCCTGCTCAGGCAGGGTAAAACCAAGTCCCTCAGCACCGCGGGCAGGACGAGCCCCCCTCCTCCCGGAGCCCCGCGGGCAGGAGCTGCTCCCACCTCTGCAGGACGAGCCCGCCACTGCCCGAACACGCCTGAGGGGAAGCCGCCCGCTGCCCCGGAGCGCGGGCCCCGCTGGGGATGAGCCCCCTGCGGGCGGGATATGCGGCCCGGGGGGCGGGCCGTGTCTCACCGCGCTGCTGTGCCGGGAGCGGAGCGGGATCGCGATCGGAGCGGGAACCGGAGCCAGAGCCGCCTCCGCCGCTGCCACGGCAACGCGGGGGCACCGGCCACGTGACCCGCAGGAAACGGGGGGCAGCGCCGCCACGCCCCCGCACGTGACCGCGCGCTCATTGGCCCGCGTCGGGCAGGCCACGCCCCCTCCGCCGCGGGGGCGGGGCCTGGGGACGCGACCCCCGCCCCGGCGCCCCCCGCCCCTCCCGGGAACCGGGGCCGCGCTCGCCCCCCGCGAGCCCCGTGGGCGCCCGGCGGTCTCACGAAACGGGGATGCACTCAGCGCTTGCACGGAAAGGGCATCCCCCCGGCACGGAGCGTTTCCGCAGCGCTCGGGGGTCCCCGCTGTGAGCATGCAGCTGTAGGGGAAAAAAAATGTCTGCAGGTCTCTGAAGTCGCAGTGAGGCTGAAACCCACCCACCGGTAAAGACGTTAGTGGGTCTGGACCTTGCGTTATCTCTAAATCTTGCCACAGAGAAGGTGCAATGGGATGCAAATGTGCTTTTATTACAATTATTAGTTATACAGCAAAAAGTCGCCACTTACATAAGTCAAAAGGCAGCGCTGCTCTGCCTCCGCCGGGCTGAACCTCCTCCGGCTGAGCACAGGCTCCCTGCGAATCCCGACTGCTATCTCCCTGCTCTCCTCCGCTATTGACTCAGCAGGAAATCCTGTATAAACCCATCAAAAGGATAGGGACAGCCTTATGGGAAAGAGAGGGAGTTCCTTCCCTGGAAATGAGATAAAGAAAATGCTGAAAGGCAGCACAATGGGTCAGCTTTATAACAGGGTAATCCCATCTTCCTGAATTCCGCCTGGGGGAGGGAACAAAGGAAAACAATGCTTAAAAACCGAATAAAGAGACAGATACATGTAATCCTGAGTGTGCTTTTCACCTCTGAGAGCAGGAATACCCCTGCTCGGTTTCAGCACAAACACTGCTGTCTCTTAGGCGCCCACATTTGCACAAACACATATACAGATCAACTTTAGCCCTTGAGGGTTAATCTCCATTAGAGAAAGGAGAGGGACTCCTCTAGAAAAGAGCTCAGAGCACGAATTTAGTGTAAGCAGGTCAAACTCCTTGGCTGTTTCAAGCCTGTAAGTTATTACTGATTTCTTGGTGCCCTATTTGGAATAGCAATCAGTTGTAGAGTTGTTCCTGATTTCACTATGCACAGGAGCACTTCCCCTTTTCTACTCCATGGATGAGGTTTTCCCCGTTTTGAGGTCACATAGTATTTGCATTTTATTCTAAATGAAGAAACATCCCTTGAAACCTGCCTTTGAAGTGCTTTGTATTCTCAACGAGCTCGTACTGCCACGAACAACCACAACAGAGTGTTTATGGGAATTCACAGCTACACCTACCAAATGCAGTTCCTACTGCTACACTCAGCCACCCCGGCGAGACAGAGCGCGAGGCAGATGCCACCTTCACCAACATGCTCTCTTTGCTGTTTATGGATTTCAAACTCAGCATTCCCGGAAAACACAGCATGAATAATTCAGCGTGGGCATCTTAGGGAGGCAGGATGAGGCCACACAACCTGAATTTGTTCAATCACCAAGACAAACTCGAGTTCACCTTCCTCATGGCTGAGGGAAGCATGTCCTCACTCAGCAGCATCTGCTCTGCTTAATGCAAGCAGCACTCACTCAGCTCAAAGGCCTGACCAGCTCAGAGGCAGAACATCTAAAGATTTGTGAGACTCTCAGTTCTTCTGTGCCCATAAAAAACCCTCACATTTTTGTGGCTCATCCTACAACACAGTATCGACAGGGTTTGCCTGCCCTAAGGGGGATTCATGTGAAGCAATGCTAATCTCACACAGGGAAAATGGATCCTGCATCTGAATGAAACGCTGCCACAACTGGCAGCACCTGGCCCCGTGGAGATTGAGCAGAAAACAGTTCCATGCAGATCCCTAATGGGGTGGGCAGCAGGCATATGGACAAGGCAGGTCAGAAGTTATCCAGCTCTAAAGCCCTTAGATATATACAGGGGAACTAAACACAAACATCACTTGCACTTGGTCACATCTGCTTCCCAGCCACCATGGTAATACCATGGAGAAGCCATTACATAAAGCCAGCTCAAACAAAATGCAGGATTTCTGGCAGCAATATTCAACAAAGGCAAAATCTAAAAAGAGATTCTCCCTTTTTGCTGTTTTTGCTTAAAATAATTTGGCACTAACCGAGGCTTGAGAAGAAGTAGCACCACATTCTGGATGCAAGGCTCTGGGAAGAGCATGTCTGAAAGCCAGCAGGCACTTCTAATTAAAGATACATTGAAGAGACAAAAACCAGAGTTACAAGTAAAACCACCACTGCATGTGCTTTAAGCACCAATAAGTAAATATATAGAGGGATGTTATGATTCCTACTGGGGAATCCAAGGTGCAAAGCAGAGCGCTCAAGCAGAGAGAAAGGCAGGTGTCATCACAGGAAGCTGAGCACAAGCAAAATGATTCCATTCCAAGCCTTTCTGCCACAGAGTTTGGAGGCTTTACACACAATCTTTGGGAAAAGGTATTGTTCCAATTCAAAAGCAGAAAGTAAGTGACATGCAGCTAACACCTTTTTCCATATTTTCGTGTACCACATCACTTGATCTCTTTGTCCCTTCCTGCAGCACTGCAGCATCTCTTTATTTTACTGAAATCCTCTTCCAAAAAGAAAAATAGAAGACAGAACAATCCAACACATCCCTTTTATTAATTTAGAAAACATGGAAGAAAATCAATAGGGAAAGTTTTAGCATTAAAAAAGGGATCCAGATTAAAAATCTATAGAACTTGTCTAGCAACATAAACTGATTTCTTTGGGTTAGAGATGACCCCATACAAAACCCCAAACGCAGAACACTCACAGTGCAGGAGAGTCTGGCTACAGACCACTTTTCTACTTCAGGTTAAACTCTTCCCCTAGATTAATGTATCCCACTGCTACCTTAGCTTCAAGATAAGTAGAATACGTAGCCTTCACAGTAATATTCCCCTTAAATGGTAATAGTTATGTTTTAGCTTTCAGACAGAAAAACACTCTGGGCCATTTTAGAAAGAACTCTAGGGTCATAGAGACTTATGGCTGACTCTTTAGAGCAAACTTAGAGCAGACTGCACAGCAGTTATACAAGCAATTAAGAAAAAAAATCTCTTATTTGGCATTTCTCTATCATTTTCTCTCAGGCCTGTGACGTGAAGGCCATGCCCCGTTAAGCAGATGTAACGTACGCCAATGGGTTCTGCTTGGCTGAGATGAAAGACTTTCATGCTCCTGAATATAAAGCAATGAACAGTGTTTCCAGCTGTCCCTGGAAGGCCTCATCCTCTTCCCATCACAAAACTTGGCTCTTCAGCATCATCTTCCTTCTCTTCCTCCTCCTTGCTGTCCTCTTCGTCATCCTCACTGCTGCCTTGCTCTTGGGATTGCCCAGGTTCTACAAACAAAGACAGGATGAATGGATGAGGTGTTCCCACCTGCCTTCCTTGTCAAGCATTTCTCAGCAAAACACTCTCAGGTGCTTCAGCAAATGTGGATTAGGTCAGGCTAATTACGTGCTACGGATGGGTAGCACGTTCCCCTGTGTCTTCCTTGTTAAGCATCTCACAACTAAGCAGACCCAGATACTCAGGGAACACCAATCAGGTTCCATTAATTCTACCGAGTGATGAGTAGCTCAGAATATCAAATTCTCCCTTGGGGAATTCCCTTACCGCAGCATTACAAGTCCATCATTAAACAACTCCACCTCCTCTGGAACATTATTTGTTTCTAACAGAGACAGTCAAACACTGAGGTGATAGATTATCTCATTCCAATCTCACCTCTGCAGACTGGGCTGAATTTTGAAGAGCACTGGGAAGCCACAGGCAAGACTCAGTATATTCCTACAACCTATCCAAGTTCACAGAAACTCCATGAGGTGTCATAAACTTTTACAGACTGTTTGCTATACTGTCAGTACAGGAACTCAGTAAGATATGCCTAAGTTTAACAAGGGTCACAGAGAACTTGGTGAAGTCTGTTAAAAAACCAGAAAACATCTACTAGAAATTAAATACCCGATAATAAAAATGAGGTATGGCATAAAGTGGGACCTGAAGCCAAGAGCCATTTTCCTGCTCTCTCCTGTTCCCCAGGCCCAGTGTCCTGACCAGTTCATGCGGGATTTAGGCTCGGTGGTCTGATGCCACCGCGTGGTGAAGTGCTGAACTTTGAGCGTTCGTTGGGAGTTCGTTCATTAATGCAGCCTCAACAGCTGACCTCACTCAGTGCCAACTTTTATTCCTAATGTTTTTACTACAACAAAGATGAAAAATGGAAAATCAGAGGTTTGATTCATTCATTCAAAAAGGAAGACAAATGTTTGCCTGCTATATCCAACAAATACACTTTAATCAATTCGAAAAAACTCTCAGATTACAACCTAGGGCACACAAAACTAAAAAAAAAAAGGCTATTGCCAGTTGAGTAAAAATGGCTAAGAGGGACTTCTCTCTCCCCTGATACTATTATTTTACATAGAGAACCATAGACTGCAAAGAGTTAAGAAACTCTTTACAAACTCTGTTACAAACACCAGGGAGTTTGGATTCTGTCTTTCAGGAACTTGTGCCAAACAAAACCACTCCAGCCCCACAACTGGTACAGGGTAATCCCATACCACAGCGCCAGTCCCTGATCAGCTCTCCTCTCTCCCAGCCACTCCCTAAGGGATGGGTATTCTGTTTGTTCACTCAAAACGAACAAATGTTGACTCATACTTAAATTCTCCTCCCAGTTACAATTCATACATGAGTAGCTTAAAAAAAAAAAAAAAAAAAAAAAAAAAAAAAAAAAAAAAAAAAAAAAAAGACTAAAACAAAACACCCAAACAATTCACTCTGATACATTCATTTGCTGTCACAAGTAAAATTAACCTAACAATTTGTCCTCCCATGTTTACATGGAAGGCTGGCAGTGGTTCAGCTGAAACAGATCCAATTCTGAAAAGCAAAGCACAAATAAGGTAGAACTGTCAGACAAGCCACTGTTCCAGCAGAAATACCAGAAACTACTGTAACTTTAAGATTAATCATTTGTGTGTTAATTCACAAGAGACCACTATTTGAAAGAGTAAGCCAAAATATACTCACTGAAAAGAAGCAACAAGTATGCAAAAGTTTGCTCAGTTACACTGACATTGCTGAACGTTAATTTTCAAGAGAGAAATTAATGCTGCAGAACAGAGGCAGTCAGGTTTTTCACCTTTATTTCTATGAAATAAAATAGTTCCGTCCACAAAATTATAACTCAGTTTCTTGCTGCCCAGGCTGTGCATTTTTTCCTTCTGTTTTCCCATACACATTCAAAATATACTTTAAAAAAGCACAGCCTTTAACAATCCTGCCTTTCTGAGCAGCTGAGGTTCTGAATCTGCAGTTCATCAGAATAGCTGGGGCAAAACATCCACAAACTCGGATTCCAGAGTTTGCTGTCCAAAATTCCCTCTAATAAATGGAAAATATTCACAAACAGCCAAGTTATTTGTAAGATTAAATCTCAACATAGATGGCTTTCAAAGAGGATTTTGAAACATCAGCTAAAATAACAAGCTTAAGGCTCAGGCTTTAATCCATGTATTGAGAATGCTTGGGATGGGGGGTGGAACAAAGCCTTCTAAGCTTCAATGAGGGAACAGAACCAAGTCCTGAGAAAAGTAAACTAAATTTCACTGACCTTTTTCCTGCTTCTTTTGTTCGAGTTTATTTTTCTTAGCTTGCAGTTTCTTCTCTTTTAACTTCTGGCTATAAAGCAAAGAAGAAAGATTCTCTGGCAAATCAAATGTTATAAGCTTCTGCACATTCATACACTGATAAAGGACATATTACAGACATCTTGGAAAAGCTGATTTCAGAAGAGAAATTCAATTTAAATTTGGCCTCAATTGAAAATTCAGCAAGAGTAAACCTAGCACATGATCAAGAGAAACTTTTTAAAAATCCATTAATCTGAAACAAGATAGAAAAGTCTTTCATGACTCCACTGCAACCAGAATTATGATACACAAGAATCTCCAAGAACACAGATGGAACTAAAATGAAACTGCCCCCACATTTTATCTACCTAGGCTAATAAAGAGAAAATGGTGTTAAAACACAGACTGCAGAAGCTGAACACTGGGGGAAGAAAACACCAGTAATATATACCTCAGTTGAAGAAAACAAAAATAGTGCAGTATGCTCTGACCTTCCTCTTTGGCTGTACCTTCTAAGGATGTCAGGCCCTGCGTGGCACTGGGGATAAGAGGGAATTTCAATTCATACAACCCAGCTCTCTTTGCCCAGCAAAGGCAACCTGGCAAGTTAATGGCAGATACAGGCAGAGCAGCCTGGCATTCACATGCTCCTCTCTCAACAGCATAACTGAATTCTCTTGAAACAGAGAGCCAGGAACTGTACCTGTTGGGTCAGGACAGAGAAGGGTGGTGAGGGAAATTAGAGGGGCTCCTGCAGGGCAAAGCCACACCATTAGAGCATAGCAGGGGACAAGGAGGTGGTGGTGTTTAGGCAGCATCTGCTGTTGGAACAGTTGTTCTCCATCTCAGCCAGGGAAGAGGCAGCAGGCCAGATCTGACTTGCTGGCCATCTGTTGGACCACATTAAATTAAACTAAGATGGCAACACTGTTTGTGTTGTGCACTTTTGTGTTAACATGGCAGTGAGCCACTTTGCACAGGCCTTTCCACAGCAACTCTCAGCCAGCATGCAAAGCAGCAAGGGAGAGACTGCTCAGGGTCAGACCCTGGGAAAGAGCAGAGGCATGATTCTCTGCTTTTTCTGAAACCTATGCTGGACACAGAGAATAGGATTTAAATGCTTGTGTCACTGCACTACAATGCTCAGGCTATTTCTTGAGAGAATCAATCTTGTAACTGTTTCGTTTTGTCTAAAATTTAAGGGGAAGATGGATTTAATATTTTTTTAGTATTTCCACCTAACTTATTAGACTTGGCCTGCCAGACATTTCAATGGGGTAGGCAGAAGCAGCCTACCCATGAAGCAGCCCCCAGTTTTGCACTGAAACTGCTTGGCATCAAATGATTCAGACATAAACTTAAGCCAGATATAGACACAAACCTTTCCTGACACTGTTAAAACAAACATGCAGCAAGGCATGTTGCAGTCAAGACCAACCACAGTGTCAGCAAAAGCAGCACAACCAGTCCAAAGTTATCCTGCAAGCAATGGCACAGAAAATAAACCACCCCAGCAAAGCCTGTCAGGTTTACAGCTACCTTTGGAAACCAAATATTGACACTGACAAATTTAATTTCCACAGCCAGACTTCCCAGCTGATAGATGCAGACAGAGAATGACAGTGTTTATCCAGAGCATGCAGCTACAGATGAGGCACAGGGAGTTAGGGTTTTCATGTCAAGCCTCCTGGGAAAAATCTGCCCTTACCGCTTCCTTCTGCGTTTTGCTGTTTGCTCTTCTGCAACCATCTTATTCCTCTCCAGTTTCTTCTGGAATTCCTCATCTAGTCTTTGCTGTAATTGATCACATGTCATACTCTGGTCACAATCTAAATTAAAATACTTATTTAAAAGTCATGTCCTTTTTGGGAGAAGTCTTTTAGCAAAATACAGAAGGGAGCTCTGCCAGATTTTGTCTGGCTTCTTTATACAAAGCCACGTTCCTAGGGATGGCTCCTGTACAGGCAGCATTTTTAACCTGCAACCTGAGCCAAACACTAAAACCTCCTGAGGGAGTAATCCTCACCAGAGCAAATGAGGGAGGTTGGGCTTCTGCCCTAATTAACATTTCAGTAAAAACAAATGAATAATTGGAGACAGAAACATTAACATACGGACTCATCTTGGCCAAGAGAGAGTATATCAATAGTGTTTTCTAAAAGAGGGGTCATTCTACTCGGTCAGGACTTAAAAGAAACATCTGAACTCTGTGCACAGGCACTCACTTTGTTTCTGCCTGTGCAAGGCAGTGTTATCAGGGATTCCTAGCTTTTAAAGTATTTTCAAGTCAGCCTGAGAACACACACATTCCCATGAGGCCTTACAGTGTGCTAGGACCCCAGGGAACACAGGAGATGGAGCACGTCTGACACAAAGCACCAAATGTTTCAGTACTGACACAGACACCATGGATCGCACACTCCTACAGACTCCTCTGACACGGGGTGGCTCAGAACGGAATTATTTGTACATGACTTTCAAAGAAAACACAGATTCACAAAGAACAACAAACAGCTGGGGGAGGGGGGAGTTCTAAAGAGTTATTCTGACCTTCTCAGCCATGGCATCCATGAAATCTTGCCTCTGGTACTCCCGCCGACGGAGATGCCGGTACACGTGGAACTCCCCGCTCCCAGCCCCAGCACTGGAACCTGCAACAAGGAAGAGTTCAGGAAAGCTGCTGGGAAAGGAGGCAAACAGATGCTCACAAATCACTGCAGCTGGATGCTGAGGGATGGGACACAGGAAAGGGCACTGTCAGATGAAAATCTACCAACAGCACATGGAGTTGTCAGCACTTCAAACTCAGCTCACTAGCAAAAGCCAGAGTGAGCTGCAAACCTACAAACTTTTGGGTCACTGCAGGTCCTACAATTTCCCCCCTGGAGAGCCCACCCCTAGCTGCACATCAAGGCAGGCACAGAACTGGAGATGAAATGCACTTCCCAGTCTCTTACAGGCAGAGGTGGGCTACAATACCCTGCTGATGCTGCTTCTAATTTTCAGCATTTCTCAAACACAAAATTAAGGTCAACAGAAAGGTGGTAAGAGGTGATATTGTACTTTCCCATGCAAGACAGATCCACTGACAGTTTTCAACTGCTTCTTCATAAATTAAATCCCTACAGCTCTCTCTTCCTGGCATCAGCCTGCATGCTGAAGCCTTGCAGGAGCTTTAAGCATTGTGCTCCACTCTCTCCCCCTGTCTCCCAAGCCCTTTCTCAAGGGAAAGCACAGGAATACAAGCCTCAAAGAAGACACCTAATTAAAACCCAGCAGCTGAGACTGCAACAGGGGTGCTCTTGATACCAACAGAGTCCCAGCACGTCAGGTACTCCCAGAAAAACAAGACAATTCACTCAAGCGCACAGCAAAGCTATTTGAAAAAGCCATGGGAGAATTCCAATAAGAAGGTTTTATTCAGAAGCATATAAAAACTTGAGTCCAAGATCAATTATTCTGAAATAAGAACAAGTAAACTTCTAGAAAGAATGGAGGTCTCAAAGAAAGACAGAACTTCTACATGCAGCCAGTTTATACCACAGCTACTACATTTAATCCCTGCAGGTAGAAGTAAAGTGTACACAGAGTACGGGGGTCAGGGTCCTGGCACAGCTGCCAGCTCCCTACCTGAGCACACACAGTCACACCTGCTGCATGTGCCTGCTTCTCACAGCCTGAGATTCACACTCAAAGCAGTCAAAAGAAGGACTTCACACTGCCAATCTTCCAGAGCACTCTCAGATCCATGGAGAGGACAGATTTACTCATCATCATTTACTTGTCATCACCAGAGCAGCAGCTTATTGCACTGCAGGCAGCCCACGTGCTGCAGTGCCATAGGCTTTGTTCCCTCTGCATTCTGACAGCCAGCAGAAAAGTGGAACCAGAGAACCAAATAAAACTTGAAAAATCCACTCTCAAAGCATATTTCACACCTCTTTTCTCCAGTAAAATGAGCAGCAGAAAACCACCTCTGTCCTTCCCTGCTTAACATTCCTCTAAGTTAACTGTGGCTGACACCAGTTATCTGAAGAACAGAATCTTTACCCATGACATCTCTGACAAACTCCGGGGGAGGTCGTGGTGCCCATTCATTCAGTTTTTCAGGAATTGGTACAGTCTTTTCCTGCAAGAACAAACCAAGCAGCCATCAGTATCTTCCAGGAGCAAAGTCTGCAATTTTAACACATTGTTGAAAGGCGGGATATGTCTGACAACAGCCTCTTCCACCAACTGACAGATCTCAGAAGAAGCACAGCTGCAGCAATTTCTCCATGCACAGGGACTAGGAGCAGGCAGAAGAGGAGAACCAGAAGGGAACCTCTCTGTCCCTCGCATTCAGGCCTGCAGGTCAACAAAGCCCAGGAGGATTAGGAGTGTCTGTGCCTCTTTGCAGCACGGGAGCTAGAAGGAAGCATGGCAGCACCTCCAAGGAACTGAGTATAATTCCAGTACCAGTCTGGGAAATTATGAAAGGTGCTGGAGCGCCTTCCATGGCAGAACTAGAGGACAGGGGAGAGCAGGGGAGGGAGAACACATGGTGCAAGGTCAGGGGAAGAACGTAGTGCAGGGAAGTCTCAGCCTGCTCCAGCACACACAGAGTGGGGTGTGAGAGCCTCCTCCTGGCAAAAACCTCCTCAGGAAAGGATCAAAACACCAAATTAGAGCACCAGGGTCATGCTCCCGCGCATTAAAAGCGGTAGATAAAGGAAAGACCAGTGTGCAGGGCACTGAAGGGCCCCTGGGTTCCCAGAGAAGCGTATCTCTCCTCACAGCATCCCAGAAAAGACGGGTCCTTCTCCCCTCACAGCAATACAGTGTGTGGGGGTCGGTCCTTCTCCCCTTGGGGACTCGGCAAGAAGAGGGGGGCGTGTGTCGATCCCGTCATGGAATCGCGAAGGAAAAGGGGGGGTTGGTTGGTCCTTTCTCCTCACAGACCCCGGGGAAGGGGTGTCAGTTCCTCTTCCCTCACGGACACGGAGAGGAGGGAGGGGAGGTTGGTCCCTCACGGACCTCGGAGCAGGGGAAAGGGGGTGCTAGTCCCCCTTCTCTCATACAGCCAGAGGTGGGGGGTCTTGGCGTCCTTCTCCCCTCACAGACACCGAGGGGGTCTCAGTGTCCCTCTCACCTCACAGACACCGAGGGCGGGGGGCTCGGCAAGAAGTGTGTCCCTCTGCCCTCACAGACCCAGGGGGCGGGGTGGGGGTCTCGGTGTCCCTCTCCCCTCACGGACCCCGGGGTAGGGGGGTCTTGGCTTCCCTCTCCCGCCTCCCCGGGCCGTGCCCCGGCGGGTGCCCTCACCGGGTTCCTCATGAGGCGCTCGAGGCGGAGGCGCTGCTCCTCGGCCGCGCTCCTGGGGATGACGAGCGGCTGCGGCTCCTTGCGGGGCCGGGGCGGCCGCGGGGCCGAGGGCGCCGCCATG